AACTTTTTAAGGTCTACGATTATTGATAGACTGTACTTTCACACAGGTTGACATTGTTTCGTAAGTCTTTTAAATGAGGAGACTGAAGAACTTCTAGAAAAGCAAAATACAACCAATAATATTAAAATTCAATTGATTCATTATAAACTATAAAATTCGGCACAACTAAAGAAAGATTTAGTTATATGGAAGGCAGGTACAAAAATTAACCAGATAGTAATTTAGAGAGATAAAAAGATAGATGTTATAACAGCAAGAATAAGAGTTTTGGAGCAGAAAATCAGACAATTCATCATACGTTAAACAAGAGTTCCAAAGGAGACTTAAAAAAATGAAGGAAAAGTAAGAAATAATGTATAATAATTTTCTAGAATTAACAAGTAACAATAAGGATTAAACTTCTAGAAACATCAGTTATAAGCAGGGTAAATTAAAATACAACCACTTCTAGACACAGAAGTATATTTTGAAATATATCAAAAGTTAAGAGATGCTTTTAAACAACCAGGAAAAAATACCTTACAAGGCAACAATAATTAGAAAATAGCAGATTTATTAAAGCAACAAAGTCATAATATCTTCAAAGGACTTAGTCAAAATAAGTCTCACCTATAATTCTACAATCAATTCATTATCATTTCAAAAATGAGGGCAAAATAAATACATTTTCAGATAAAAGCAAAGATTTATTACTAGCAGAACTTTGCTGAAAGAAATATTAAAGAATATACTTTAAGCAGAAGGAAGCGGAAAGTAATGGCAAAATAAGAAACTGGTACAGTGAATAAAATTTAAAAACACAGAATTTATAATATTCTCCTTGAAATAAAGCTGCCATGTTGCATTTTTAAGCATAATTCATTTGCAAAACAAAACGACAATAAAACATAGCTTCAGCAAGATACTTTTCACGAAGAACAAAGCACCACACACAGACTTAGAAAATCTCAATTAAGAATCTGGCTTTCTCTTATCTTATCTTGGCCAAAGGTTTTGGTTTCTTCACCCCAAAGTAAAGGCATTTAGCTAGAAGTTGTGTAACATTCCCAGCCAGCTCTAGATTTTATGGATAGAAAATAGGGTTCCCAAATTACCAAGACATCTTTCAAAACAGAACAAGGTGTGACATAAAACAAGCTCCAATGAGTATATTTTTATAAAATGATTTTAATAACTTCTGTTAAAAAAAAACAAAACTCTCAATTATGTTTTAAATAAACTATTGTAATCAAAGCCATATAGATTTAGAATTCGTAAGCGCCCATGCTAAAATTTACACTGGCTTAGAGAAAGCCTTCTCCCCTAACAATGAAAACAAACAGGATTATAAAAGAAAACATAAAGTCCAGTCACTCAAAAAATATTTATTGAACACCTACTATGTGGCAGGAACTATTGTTGTCATCTGGAATATACCAGTGTAGAAAATACTTTTAAACATACTCAAGATATGACAATTGTATGTGTAAAATTGATAGGGACAGTATAAACCATTCATTTTCCATTGAGTTAGGTCTGCAAGGATTTTAAAGAAGTTCTAGTGTTGTTAGTATTATTCTTAACAATGATAAAAATGTATTTTTAAAACATACAGGTGACCCTTGAATAATACAGGCTTAAACTGCACAGGTTCACTTACACAAGGAATTTTTTCAATAAACTGTAAATATATTTTCTCTCATGATTTTCTTAATAACATTTTCTTTTCTGTAGCTTACTTGATTGTAAGATTAAATAACAAACAAAATTGTTAACTGATTGTTTATGGTATCAGTAAGGCTTCCCGTCAACAGTAGGCTATCAGCAGTTAGGTTTTGGGGGAAGTCAAAAATTATGTGTGCATATTTGACTGCATAGAGGGGCTGGAGCCCCTAACCCCTGTGTTGTTCAAGAATCAACTGTATATTATCCAAAGCTGTTCAGTAGGAATTCACTTCTGACTGAATCACTAAAGTTTAACTCTTTAAAAAATATCCAGAATGATTTGGAATATGAACAGATCCTTAAAAAAATTTAGAAACCTTAGGACTGCTTTATTTGTATTGGAAACAGCAGGTCCTCAGCATCACTAAGATTAGTATAGTCATTATGGAATAGATTAAGGAACTCCATTATTAGGAGCAGTCAGGAATAAAGTAAGGATACTGCTTTCTGTAACTATAGTTGTTCATTTCTGGAACAACTGCTATACACATTTTCCTGTTCCTTATTCTAAACTGTACACTGCCAGTCACTCAAAAAGAAAAAAAAAACAAAACTCAGACTAATAGAGGCCAAATTTAAGGAGGGAAATAAAAATCATCCTTCAGTCTAGGCTAAATGGACTGATTACACAAAGAACTCCATACATCCGAAAGCAGACAGATGTCTGCACTAGTTCCCAGGGCTCAAACAATACTAGTCATTCAATAGCTTTGCTTTTACTAAGCTGATGTGAGAGTGAGCTCAGTCAGCTCTTCTGAACCTCATAACCCAGGATCCAGGAACTCTAATAAAGCCTACATTTTTCCTCAGCACTGTTTTCATGTACTTTCTCTGGAAGAAAACTTCACTTTTCCCCAAAAATAAATGTGGAAATCATTTCTTCCGTTTGATAAGTGATGTACTCAATCTAAAATTACTTTTCCATTAAAATCACAACCCTTAACACAAATCTAAGATAACACAAAAGACAAACTGACAGAATATGTATTTAAATGCATGAGTTTAAAGTAGAATTTTAAATACATTCCATCATGGTAATTCTCAAATGTACATACCATTTGGCTGCATTGTTTTTTTCCAGTTGCATGATTTTAAAAATAACCCCATGACACAAAATAGCAACTCCCCCCCCAAAAAATTTTTTAATTAAGAGAAGTGTTCAGAGGGGATAAATTTACACACACACACTCAACACTAACCATAAAGATCAAAAAATATAGTGATTCTTCATTGAATATCCCTTAGAAGCTTAAATAATACTACTTTCTACCTTCAAAGCACATTATTGTTGATTCTTCTAGTTCCTTCACCAGTTGAATCTCTGGTGAATTCCTGCCTTCAATTCTGGGAAGTATCATGGATAAAAGCCCCAGAAACTCTAATGTCCTTTTTTAATCAAATGGCAAACTTCCTAAAACACTTATAAGACCTGCTTTCTAGAAATAAAGCTCATTAGTTTTACTACTAAGTGATAATGATTCATTTACTAATTAAATTACTAAACCACGAATAATCAAGAGTTGCCTATAAATTCAGCTCCTTTGAATATGTACTGTCACACAATCATTATCACACACAGAAATTATCAAATGCCGCTCGTGAGTTGTGGTAATGGAGTTATTTTATCCACCCAGCTTCATTAACAGCTCTTGTGGCTCCTCTAATTCCTTTACCACTCTTCCCCTCTACATATACTACTATGTAATACAAATAAACATATTTTGAAGAAGGAAAAGTTATCTCTCTCCTAAGTTTCATGTTCTTAGATAGTAAATCCTTAGAGATACCAGCTCTCTCTCGACAAAAGTACAAAAAGCAGAGCTCTGAACATACTAACCATTTCATAATAGATATTTGGGTGAATTTCCATCATCGCCCTTACCATAAGATTGAATTTGTCAAAAAGAACTATTTATCTTTTCATCAAAATGTTACCCTCCAATGATCACCAAAACCCTGTGCGTTCTACCAAGCAGCAACCTCAGAAACATTTCAACACTACCCGAGACTTACAAACTTTGTTGGCAAAACACAGATTACATTTCTCAAAAATATCTTGCAAGTTCTCAACAACCAAATTTGTCAGTCAGTACAAATCACTGCACATCCAACGTCCAACTTCTCCTTGGGACACTCAATTCTTTTACCTACCCCAAGAGCCACTATAATATTTTCTGATGCATTATTAAGTGACCATTTGACTTTAGCAGATATCTTAATGTTCCTCTAAAAAATATAATAACTTTTGTTATATAAACCATGTATATTTGTGTTTTTCAAAACTCCTCATCCTAAAATTTCACTACACTATTGCCCCTGTTTTCTCTTAGAGTCAAACAAGTATTTTCATTTCCCTACAACGTGGCATCATCTTTAACCTTTGTACCAAATAAGGCCTGGTATCAAGACAAAGGAGCAACTATAAACCTGTCTTTCATTTTCTCCAAGTTTTATTACATAATATTAATACATTCCCATTTATAAATACGTTTTGAAGCATTTTGACATACTTGAAAGTCAAAGAAAACAAAATATTAAAAGGTATTTACAAGTTATTTCTCTTTAGATTTTTATCAATTATTAGTAACTCATTTCAGGTTCCTGTTGAGACAGTCATCTATACCTAGCTAAGACAGAGTCTTGTATGACACTGTATTCAACAGAGAAATATCCAGGAATGGTATACGGCAGGATTGAAGCATAGTAATAAAGAAGCATGTGAGGACACAGTTCCAACTTTCTAAGGGGATATTTGGCTTTAAGTTTCCCTTCTCATGTGAAAATAAACCTTTATAGCAAATATATGTTTATCTAACTAGAAAGAAATTATTATTTAACAATTTAATTTTTATTTTTCATTAAATATTGACATTAAATACAGTTTAATATAAAAGACACTACTATCAAAAATGACTATATATATAAAACAAAAGTTGTAAGATGCAGTTATTTTCTATAATCTTGAGCTATCAAATACTACCCTTGTTGAGTCTTCATTACTTCTTCTCTGCCTTATAATTATCCTCTCATAGTTAGAAAAAATAAACAGAGAAGAAAAACCAAGAATTGTAAATATAGCTATACCATAAGTGGCATTAGAAACAAAAAACTATTTACAGAAACACCCTAAAATCACAATATAAATCCCCACATTCAAGTCTACTTGACAAAAAAGCCCAAAGAATATAAAATTTGGTTTTTGCTCTTTGTTTTTTCTTGGGGATGAGAGGGGACTACGCCAGAGAAGAGAAATCAGGAGGAGATGCAATACCCTTTGTACATTACACAAAACTTACCCACTGGAAGGATCTAAGGCAATAGCTCTAGGTTGATCCAACTCTTGCCAAAATAAAACTTTTCGTAAAGATCCATCTAGATTAGAAACTTCAATCCGATTAGTTTCAGAATCTGTCCAGTACAATTTTTCTCCAAGCCAATCGCATGCCAGCCCATCAGGAGACAATAATCCAGAAACGACAACATTCTGTACGCTCTCAGTTTTGTTAAACTCTGTTCGTTTAATGGCTTCTTCGCTGACATCACTCCAGTATATCAAGCCATGACCAAACACAAAGTCCACCGCAGCTGCATCCTCCAAGCCCCCAACTACAATGGTAGCATTCTCTTTGCCATTTGTAGCATCAACCAATCGTAAGTCCCGTCTGTTTGCATAAAGCAACAAAGGGGCCGCTAGAATAAAAAAAGAAAAATATGTAAGTAAATGAAAGGAAATGTATTGGTTCTCATAAATGAGTTCAAATAAATCAGAATCAGGAAACAAATACTATCAAAAAAGAGTAAATATATCTATAGAAGATGGTCTTAAAATCTTTTCACAAACGAAATAATATATTTGCAGCATTTTAAATACAGAAAGTTGCAAGAGAAAATATTAATTCTACCAGGGCTGTCTTGTTAAAATGGTCTGTCAGATGAAATTAAAAAGTTTGGCCATACCAAAAATGGGCAAGAATATGGAGTTACAGGAATGCTCATACTCTACTAGGGCAATGTGAAATGGTACAGCCACCTTAGAAACCAGTTTGGCAGTTTCTTCTTCTTTTTTTTTTCTAAGACATGGTCAAGTTTTTTATAAATATGTTATTTATTTATTTTTAGAGAGAGGGGAAGGAAGGGAAAAAGAGTGGGAGGAAACCATCAATGTGAGAAATATTGGTTGCCTCTCATCTTCACCCCAACATGGGACTGAACCCCAACCCAGGCATGTGCCATGACCAGGAATGGAACCAAAGACCCTGAGCTTTGCAGAACACCTAACCAACTGAACCACACTATTCAGGGCAGTTTGGCAGTTTGTTAAAGGTTAAACATACAACATACCTAAGAAATAAAACCATATGTCAATACCAAGACCTGTACATAAATGTTCATAGCAGCTCATCTGTAATAACCCAAATTGGAATCAACCTAAACATCATCAACAAACTAATGGATGAATGAATTATGATATATTCATATAATAAAAAGTAATAAACTATTTGTACAATATGGGTGAATCACAAAATAATTATGTACAATGAAAGAAGTCAGACAATATATGAATATATATTGCATGACTCCATCTATATAAAATTTTAGAAAATTCAAGTTATTGTGACGAAAAGCAGATCAGTGGTTGTCTGGAAATAGGAGGGAAGGTGAAAAAGAATGGAAGGCAGGGATTATAAAGGGGCATAAGGAAACTTTTGCAGATGATGGCTACAATTATATTGACTATGATGATGGTTCCAGAGATGTATACATATGTCAAAACTTACTACGTTTTATACTTTACACATGCAATTTATTGTACAGCAATTTTATCTCAATAAAACCATTAAATAGTCTGGCAGAGATAGTTCTTAATAGAACTATTTTATTCTCTTTTATATTATTATTATTTTTTAAAGATTTTGTTTATTTATTTTTAGAGAGAGGGGAAGGGAGGGAGAAAGAGAGGGAGAGAAACATCAGTGTGTGGTTGTCTCTCAAGTGCCTCCTACCAGGGACCTCGCCACAACCCAGGCATGTGCCCTGACTGGAAATCGAACCAGCAACCCTTTGCCTGCACTCAATCCACTGAGCTACACCACCCAGGGCTATTCTCTTTTATATTATTATTAGAATGACCTTTGAGTAAGACCTAATACCAAAACTAAATATAAAGCTTATCCTAAATAATATTTAACTTTGAGAAAGCTGAAGCTACTATTATGACTGAAGTAGTACAAATTTTATGGTTTTGTTTTTTTTAAAGTATCTGTTCCAAGTTTCTGACATTTACTTTCCTGGTATCAATAGAAATTAAAGATCTAGAGCACCACTATACAACAGAACTTTCTGTGATGACAGAAAGGTTCTCTTCACTATGCAATGCGGGAGCCACTGGCCACATAAAGATCTGGAGCACTTAAAATGTGACTAGTGTGACTAAGATACTTAATTTTTAATTTCATTTCATCTTAATCCATTAAAATTTAAACAGACAAGTGGTCATATAGCACGGGCTGAGGTGAAGAACACAAAGAGGCAGCAAAAATATAACCAGTTATGATGCAATAATTAACATGATCTTCTCTCACAATTCCTTACTAAACGTTTAAAATGTGTCATCCAAAGCCAAGACCAAGTATCATTTAAAAGCAACCACTCCCTCTTTTTTTAAAACATTTCAAAGGAAAAAGGACACATGGACAACAAGGTGGGGGAGGGGAGGGAGGTATAAGGGGACTAAATAGTAATGGAAAAAATAAAATAAAGATTAAATTTTTAAAAAGAAATTAATTTCAAAAACAAAGTGCTCAAGAAAAAGTACTGTTTAAGCCATCTAGACTCTGGACTCTGGAATCTGGACTCTGTCTGCCAAACGGAGTTATGAAGTCCCATTATTTTCATCTGTAAGTACAACAAATATGAACTTCCCTTCTAAGCTTAAATCCAATTTTCTTAGTCAAATACTAATGAGTAGACCATTTTTTAAAAAGTGACAATGAGTCCTTTATGCTTATTCTACGTATTTACTGCTACTATTTGCAAATTAATAAATGTCCCTCACAGATTTCACTTTTAACTCATTTCAGGCTTTCATACATAGTACTGATTTATCAGTCCCTACACTGCATTATCTTACAATGCGCATCATAACATGGGCCAATTATAAAAATCAGAAAAAAGGTCCCTATCACTTAAGGGTAGAATGCTAAATGCTGCACAGGGCTAAGAAATAACCCCAGTACACTTACAACTTAAAATCCAAGAGAAGTAATAATCTAGTATTTATTGGACACCTTTCTTTATGGCACAATTCTTGGAAAACTGCGTGCCAAATTTGTATATGGCATTATGTAGCAGTTAAATGTCTTTTATGACTTTTAAATCAAATATGAACATTTCTACTAAACACCTTGCCTACAAAATGCAAAGAAACTTTCTGGTCATTTACGGCCTTACTCACTGTACAAGAGAAAAAAGTGTTCCTGTTTAAGTTAGTAGTACTGGTTATAATTAAGGATTACTAAAAGACTGTATGTAAACCTACACATATTAAAAGGCAATCACAACCCTGACCGGTATGGCTCAGTTGGTTGAGTACCACCCAGCAAAGCAAAAGGTCACCAGTTTGATCCCCGGTGAGGGCACAAGTGTTTTCTCTCCCTCTTTTCCTCCCCCTTCTCCACTCACTAAAATAAAATAAATAAAATCTAAAAAAAAAAAATCAATCCTAACTACTATTCTGCTACTTGAATATTTCTACAATACTGTCACTAATGTCTATTCAGTATTGAGATAGCTAAAAGGTGTAATTCAATCTGCAGTACTGTTTTTGTAAGTTTAATTTTTATTGTATTTTTCCATTGCCATTTATCCTCCTTATACCCACTTTCACCTCCACACATCTCTTCCCTCCAGCAACATGGTTTTAATCTACTAAAGAAATACACTGGACCCACAGACACTTGCCCCTAGTTATAGCACATATGCACTCAGTATCTTCCAATCCAAAGAAGTTAGTTCTGACTTCTTAACAACCAAATAACCCAAACAGCCACCATTGTCTATTTAGTGGAACCTACCTGGGTATGTAAGAATCTTTATTTTCCTTTATTAACTTCCTAACAAACTTTCACTAGTAGCCTTTCTAAATTTTTTTCTGCATTCCTAAAGACAACTTTCATGCTTTGAATCATTCATTCTCAGATCACCTCGACATAATCAGTAAAGCAGGAAACAAGGTAAATGTCTTCCATCCTGAACATCTTTATTAAATAAACTCCTCAAAAATCTTTCTGTATCCCACCCAATCCTCCTTTAACTTGTCCTCAAGTGTCAAATGACAAGCTGTCTTTCCTCCTTTCTAAGATTAAGCAATACTTTTGGTTCAGCCTCCCTACCTCTACTCTGCAACTCTGCTCTTATCAACTGTTTTCTATGTCTTGTATCTTTAACGGCCCCTGCCAGGTGCCTGCTATCAAAAAAACTTTGTTTTGCGTTGGCTGGTGTGGCTCAGTGAATTGAGCACCGGCCTGCAAACTGCAAACCGAAGGGTCGGCAGTTGATTCCCAGTCAGGGCACATGCCTGGATTGTGGACCAGGTCCCCAGAGGAGGCTGCGTGAAAGGAAAGCACACATTGATGTTTCTCTCTCTCTCACACCCTCCCTTTCCCTCTGCCTAAAAAATAAATAAATAAAATCTTAAAAACAAACAAACAAAAAAAACCTTTGTTTTGATGACCCTAACCTTGCTATAACTAGTAGCATAATTTTATTTCTCCTAACCACAAAACTTACATATTGGTATACATTTCATACCACCATCCATTACCTATTAACCCTTAGCCTAACTTCCTATCCATCACTCAACTGTCTCTGCTTTCTCCAAGTCTTCTTAACCAAATCCAGTGGCCAAATCTAATTTCTGACCTTTCTGCAGCATTCAATATGGGTATGTTGTATCCTTACCTATGTACAGTATACTATTATTCTTGTTTTACTGGTGATACTTTGCCTGCCTTTTAGTTTCGAATCTTCCAACTCCCAAATATAGGTATCCCCAAGATTCTCTGTTGTTACTCAAATAAGAGAATATAGAAAATTATTCAAGTTCACCAGGTCAACAAGCAACTCTATTCATGTAATTTACAAATCATCATCTCCAGTCTAACCTTCAGTTCTGTACCTGTAACTTCTTGTTGGCCATCACTTCCTGCCATTAATTTAAAATTCACTACCTTCACCCAATACCCCCCCAAAAAAATCCCTCAAGGGTCAATGATACCACAATTTTCCTAATTTCATTAGTCTACCTTAGAGCAGTCTTTGACACCTCCCTTCCCACCCACCCCCAGTCTGCTAATTACTGCCATGTTGATTCTTCTTTAACATGTCCTTAAATCTGCCTCTTTTTTTCCATTTTTAGTACCACTATCCTACTCTAGATCTTCATGACCTTATACCTAATCTACCCTAATGTAAGTAATCTCAACACACTTCCTTCCCTTTTCTACTTCCAATACTTCAACTCTATCCAACTCAAAAAGCTTTCTGATGAAATTTGCCTAAAATAAAAAGCCTCGATACCTTAGGCGACTGTACCTATGACTCTACCTTACCTATTACAGTCTCTCCATCATACAAACTGGTTTTGAACACATCGTATTCCATTGCTCCAGTGTATTCATTTTCCTGCCCAC